GAACTTCTTGGCAACATCTTCACTATGTTGTTTGATTTGAGCAACTGCGGGGTTAGCTCTCAATGGTGGAGGTTCAATGCATTTCTCAGTTATCTCCCAAAGGTCATAAGCCTTAAGATAGGCCTTCATCTTTGCAGCTCAGAAATTATAGTTTTCTCCATTAAAAATTGGGGGAAGAGGTGCTGAAAATCCTTTGGAAGATATCACTCTCTCACACATTTGGCTAGTGAAGGTTCCTTACTTGTTTTCTCTTAGAATTTCTGGTTGTCAAAGAGGGTGAACGAAGAAAGAAACAAGAAGCTGAACTTACCATATTTGTAAAGAGCTTATCGAATTTTACACAGCATACTGTATTTGCACACACTTATTGATTTTTGAAGTTACCGGATTTTCACAATACTTACTGATTTTTACACAAGTTACCATATTTGCAGGTTCCTTACCGGATTTACTTATTACAAGATTTGCAGGTTCCTTAACGTATTTGCTACTTGCTTACCGATTTTGCTTCTTACTTATCGGATTTGCATAGAACACTCTATTTTTACAATTTTTTACTCTTTTTCCACTCTTGAAAGATCATCAAGGGCTCTGATACCACTAATAGAGTATTAAAGACAAAGAGGAGGAAAGAATGAAAATTTTCAATAATAGAAATGGTGTTACACGGCTCATTCATATAGCCATATTTTCCTACATTACAAAATATCTTTCTACCAACTATACTACCTACTACAACTCAAACCTTACTTGACTAATCATCTAGACAACCTCAAGTACCAACTTGTATAAAATATAAAACAAAACTTAAGCTATCATAAATTACAAAAATATCTATCAAGCTAATGATAACAAAAATGGTTTGACAATAAAAGTGTTACATTTGACACGCTTCATCAACAAATGAGTCCAGGAAGGACCTTTTCGAGCAGTTCAAGGCAAGGGCGGTTTCATAATTGGAGCAACAGCATGGCACCAATATTCTATAATGACATAACAACAATTCGTAAAATCGCAAAGAGATTGAGTAGTAGGTGGGTGGTCTCCAATCGGTGCAATCTATGGCACTGGCTCACGGTGAGAATGTATAATTGAGGTAGCCTGCAATTTGCTAGAACCAAGTAGAGTTGGTGGCAATCAAATTCAAGTTCAAATTGAGCAGCATGCTAAGAAAGAGGGTCTAGAATTTGGGAAGGGGTACTATATTGATTTTTCTCAGGGGAAAATAGTTGAAACTTACTTAAAGCTGAGTCATTATTCTAACTAATAAGCTTCATGAAAACATTTGTTGAGTATTACTTTTTTTAATAAGCTACATATAGCATGACTCGTGCAATCTGTGTACGTTTAGCATTGCTCAAATTTCAATTACATTGTCATCCCTCCCCCCCTTCCCCCCTCCACAGTCATGGTGTTTGCTTTCTCATCCATTTCTAGACATAGTTGATGGTCCAAACTGCTACCAAGAAGCAGTAAAGCTTGCTTCATGTGTAGCTTTTTTGTTCGTGGTGACATCAAAACTTTCTCATGAATTGAATTTCGAAGGTTTATGACCTTATCCGTTTTGGAAGTCTTTCTCAAAGTCATGGATGTTTCAATAATTTTGTTTGGTATGAACAGCATGGTTTTTTAATCAAATCCTTTTTTTTTAAGGGTAACTTAGAGGTTGTTCTCTTTGTGTTTCAATTTTTAGTTTTGAGTTTTGAATTCATTTTGTATTTTGTATTTTGAGTGGATATTTTCAAATTGCTGAAAATGCGTTATTTTTGTCATTCTGAAAAACTGTTTCCCGAAATATAAAAATGGAAAATGCATTTACTTTGAAATTTTGAGAATATTTTTTTATAATATTTTATTCAATAAATCTGATTATTCAATAAATTTTAATAGTTTAATGTTGATATAGTATTAAATAACATATACATTTTGAAATTGGTGAATCTTGAAATATTATTTTTCCAGCTATAAAAAAACACAACCTAAATTAAAATTTGCAAGCCTTTGTCTTTGTCCTTGTACGTAACTTGTAACGAGAATTAACTAACATCAAGTCACAACCAAATCTAATCATGTTGCAAAAAAAGGGAGCACTAATCTTATAATGACATGGTAATAAATATTTTGAAATCAATCTTATCGAGTTCACATTAGTTTTCACAATGCTTGCCAAATATTGTTTTGATCGTTTAAACACGATGACTATTTTCGCAAAAGTGCAACACATATTTTATATTGGTGGAAAGCTAAAGTTACCAAAGATGCATTTTGTCAAGCATTTAACAAGAGCTTCTTAACAAGAATATCAACTAGCCTATGCACCATTTGAATTCAACAAGTATAAGCTTATAACTATTTCTCAAACTTGATGGCCTCCAATCTAGGTGTAAAAAAATATGCTGAGAAAATGTGATGTGTAAACATGTCAAAAATTGTAACGGTTTAGGACAGCAAATCTAGGCTCGAAACAAATAAATCACTGCAAACTATACATGAATCGGTTGCACGATTCTACTCCATATTAACTGTTAACTCACAAGAAAGAGAAGAAACTTGGTTCATCTGATTTTCATTGAGCCAAGTGAAGGCAATATATCAGGATACAAAATCAGATTACATCAAAATATGAAAATGCCAAATGACATCAGCCACAGTAGCATGATTACAGCTAGAATAAACTTGACCTGTTGACCAAAATTAGCCTAACTAGAGTGTAAATATAAGTCTTCACATTATCCTACAATCTCCTCCTTGAAGCTTTTATTTAAGACTCCAATTTGATGCATCAGTGCCACAAAACGATCCTTTGCAAGTGGCTTGGTAAACAAGTCTGCTAACTGAACTTGTGAAGGACAATGTTGCAAGTGAACTTCACCTTCTTTCTCCGCATGTCTGATTGCATGAAACTTGACTTTAATACACTTTGTTCTTCTATGATTAACTGAATTTTTGGCTAAGGCAATAGCTGACTGATTGTCTACTAAAATTGAGGTAGGATTTGCTTGAGCTTGATGCAAATTACTTATAATTTTCCTCAGCCAAACCACCTGATTTGTAGCTGATGATGTAGCCACATACTTTGCTTCTGCTGTAGATTGAGCTACAATATCTTACTTCTTTGAGTTCCAACTGAATGTACCAGATCCCAGAGTAAACAAATACCCAGAAGTACTCTTCATATCATCAATTGAACTGGCCCAATCACTGTCTGAATAGCCAATTAAATATGATCCAGCCTCTCATTCATAATAAATTTCATGATTCAGAGTTCTTCTGATATATGTTTGAGGACTCTTTTGGTAGTAGAAAGGTGAGTTTGTGATGGATTGGACATGA